CCTCCTCCCATTTCCCCTCCCCCCTCCCCTAGGACCAAGCTACACAGGCTAGCGATACCGAATCTGGGTCGCCTTGGTTAGACGCGAGAGCTTACGCCGCTACGCCACCCGTGCTTCCTTAGAGTGTTTAATAAAATTTGTATCCTAATTTATTGATAGCACTTTGAACTGGTACTGAACTGGTACAGATCTAAGCTTTCTAGTCGAGTGCAAAGCCTGGACCTTGAGTCCCATTCCTCTTGGTCAGCACGTCAACGCCCTTTTCACAGGAATCACAAGCAAAGCAATTTCAATTTTGAAATTTACTTAGTATAATCTGAAATCTGAAGTTCCAACTCTGAAGTCTGAAATTTAGGCTTCAACTCTGAAGTCTGAAATTATAAATCAGTGAATGACGATGAAGTCATTGGAACCTGGATGTAACTATAAAGCCGGATGATTCATATTCGACCAGAATTCGAAACTCGAAAAGAAAAAAGCTTGAGTTTTGCAAAATGCAAACATAAGGCTGGGCAGCGCTGGCTGAAGTCCGAAGTCTGAAATATCCCAAGTCTGTAGTCTGAAGTCTGAAATGTCCCTCCAGGGCTTCCGTAAGATCCGCCCAGCTATTGTTTCAGATCCTGGTAAAATTCGATGGATTCTTTTTTTTTTTTTTTTTTTTTTCTGGTGCCAAAAGCTCTTTTCAAGTTTAATTCCAATCTCGTACCCAGAGCCTGCGTTTTTTTCTGGCATGCGGTGAAGAGCGAGGGATCTGGCATAATCCATTTTTTGAGATCAGGATTTCTTGGAGTTCTTGTATAAGAGCGCATACGTTAAAAGACTTTTCAAAAATAAAAAAAAGGATGTTCCCGATTTCTAATTTTTACTTGGATCGGAGGAAAACATATCGATATTTCGCTTCACTTGCGCAAGCGCCAAAAATGGATTATGAGTCCTCATTTTTCGCCGCAGGCCAGAAGAAACGGAGGCTCTGGGTAAGAGATTGGTTCAATTCCTAGAACACCAGCTGAATTGTACGCATGCGCGTACGTTATACAAATATTTTTGCAATCTCGTACCCAGAGCCTTTATTACTTACTGCGCATGCTCGACGAAATAAATAGGCTCTCAATCTCGTACCCAGAGCCTGCGTTTCTTCTGGCCTACGGCGAAGAACGAGGGCTCTGGCATAATCCATTTTTTAAGACCAGGATTTCCTGGACTTCCGATATAAGAGCGCAAACGTTGACATCAGAAAAAATCTGTTAACATTTGGTCAGCTACGATTTCAAGCTCACGCCCCCTCATGTGAGCCCAAACAAATTATGTCTCAAAAATTTGGTTTTTGGATCTTTTCTCAAAATAAGGACTATCTAGGCAAAAAACAGAAGTGGATTCAGTTTATTCAGCTATTCACGGACTGTATTATATGGTTTAGATTGAATTCTATTGGAAAAAAACACCGTACTTTTTGAGTTGAATGTACGCTGTTGGATATATTTTACAAGAGAAAATGCATGACATAACCGGAGTCAAGCTAGAAAATCGTCTCTCCTTGAAATAAAACAGAACCTGTAAAAAAAAAACAGAAGTGGATTTGAAAACCCCGGGCTTTCCTGAACATTTTGGTATATAATTCATAGCAATTTGTTACAATTTAGAACCGTATTTTTGCTGATTTTATAAGCTCATACTATCTGTTGGCCTATACATTCGCCTCTTATGGTTTCTTAGGTTTCGTAGCCTCGAAAACACGCTAACTATTAGTTGGCAAAAAAACCCAGAAGATTTACGGGTCATTTAGGATGTTTTGTCACGCAGTTTACTTGTGCTACATAACTTTACTCTTAACAACAACCTTTTGCTTTGGAAAGAGAGAAAAAAGACCGAAAAAAGCAAATATTCCAAATGTATGGGCAATTTTTTCCAATGAGACTTGCTAAAAACAAAAATAAAAATATGTTCCCGTCATTTCCGGAAAACTACGCATGCGTCAAAAAATGGATTATGCCAGAGCCCTTGTTCCTTGCCTCAGGCCAGAAGAAACGCAGGCTCTGGGTACGAGAATGATAGACTCTGCAAAAACTCCAGTATTGACACCGGAAGTAAAAATTACTTTCGATACAAAATGGTGATTCCGAGCACAAAAACTTGATTGATTGTGTGAAGAAATATTATAACAGCAACTCGTATTTTAGGTTCGACTGCCATCATCAGTGATGGTAAAGTAAAGTGAGATTACAAAATATATAGCAAAAGAAAACAATGGGTGATAGTACAATGGAAAGAAGACTAATGTACTAATTTAAGATTAACATGTTGTACTTGTTGGTTAAGTGTTGGCTTAAGCCATTGAATATGTAAAGCTTCCTTGATTTTTAGTGTGCATCTAGAAGACGCTTGGTCAATGATGGTAAATGACTCCCTAGGCAAGCATTGCGGCATGCTTCTGATGCGTTAATGTGTTTGAATACGTGAGATCCCTTATCGGAGTGAATGTGTTCACTCACTCGTGACGAAAAACGTATTTTTCGATTCAATGTTATTTATTTTGGGAGTAAAATATCTTACGATACAGTTTAATTTGAATGTAAAAATTAAGTTATAACTCAAGAAATACAATTCGAAAAACACCCAGATAGTTTGATAATTTAGTACCGTTGTGAACTACAGAATCAGGCGATAAAGATATGTAAGTTTACGAAGGATCGAGCAGGAAACAAGCGAGTTATGAGCGTTTCTTCTAGTAATGGTAGAATGAATTACACGTATACTTAATATATCCTTTTCATTGGGAGCTGTACCAGAAAAATGGAAACTAGCCAACATAACTCTAATTTTCAAGAAAGGCTCAAAGCATTGCAGAGAAAATTATCGTCCAATTTCTCTGACAAGTATCATTTGTTAGATTGGGAAAAAAATCGTCCGTAACAGAATTCTACGTTTCTTGCACGACAACAACTTATTGAACGATAGCCAATTTGCATATCTAGTAGGCCGATCTACAGCTTCCCAACTGCTGAGTACAAACACGATTGCCGGGACCTTGTCTAGAAACTGCCGCACCCCTACAGATATTCTATTTCTCGACCTAGCCAAAGCCTTCGACAGTGTCCCTCATGAAAAGCTCCTTTTAAAGCTGTACAGTAATGGCATTGATGGCTGCCTCCTTAACTGGTTCAGGCACTTCCTTATAGGTCGGAAACAAAGAGTAGTAGTCAGAGGAACGCCTTCTGAGGGGTCACCGATAACATCAGGAACGCCACAAGGAACAATTCTTGGCCCCATCTTGTTTCTTCTGTACATAAACGATATAACCGACAATATCTCTTCAACGACGAAACTCTATGCTGATGACACTAAAATCTACAGAGCCATTCAAGGTCAGAACATTGACATACTTGTCTTGCATGTCTTGCAAACGGACCTTAACAACTTACATAATTGGGCTACTACATGGCAGCTAGGATTCAACGCTGATAAATGTGAAGCTATGAGAATCACTCACTCTCGAGATAATTCAACCCTACTGAAAGATGTCAAATCGTTCAAAGATCTTGGAGTCACGGTTACAAGAAACTTAAACTTGGGAGACCACGTCAACAATACAGTCAATGAAGCCAACAAATTTCTTGGAACTATCAAACGTTCTGTAGGAACTGCTAACACTGACATTTTCTCACTATTATATTTCTCTTGTTAGGTCCCCATACCTTGTCAAAGATATATATACACGCTTTAGAAAAAGTTCAACGCAGAGCTTCTAGATAAGCGCTTACTCAAAGAAAAGGGGAAATGTCCTACGAAGACAAATTACTTCTTATCTTTAATAGAATGCTATAATAATAATAATAATAATAATAATAATAACAATAACAATAACAATAACAATAACAACAACAACAACAATAACAATAACAATAATAATAACAATAATAATAATAATAATAATAACAATAACAATAATAATAATAATAATAATAATAACTTTATTAATGTCTCTAATCTTCTAGCCGGGCACAAGTGCCCTACAAATCGAGGAGACAAAAGACTATAAGATAGTCTTTGGTCACAATCACCTCAAGTTTCAAGATTACTTCGAACTAGCCAAGCGTAAATCCACTAGGGCAAATCACTCTTTCAAACTTTATCTTTATCAAAGTCTGAGTAAATGAGTCTGTAATCAAGACACACAGCGGTAATTTAGATTTAGACTTTTAGATTTAGATTTATTACTGGGTTGCCTGTGGTTTCCTTCTCGCGAAATGTGCATTCTTGCGCAAGAGTACCCATATATGGATTTGAATGACGTGTTCATAGATAAATGGCTCATAGATTGGCTTAGCAGCTGAGGATGTAATTCCGGGCTTTAGAAGTAATATAATTGAGCAGTAAATGAAGATTTCTAAGATTGTAATTCCGATATTTATTATTATTAATATAGCTACTCGGTCGGCAGTATTCTGGCTTCAATCGCGTGGGTTAGTCGGAGCCTAAATAAAAATATGGCTTTCAGTTTTTAGTTAACTAGACGCTGTAGGCAGCGTTGACTGGGATACCTGGAAGGGGGGAGTGGAGGACCTGGTTTTAACATGCATGGAGTATTTTAGTTGGTTGATTTTCCAAAAATACTGATAAATAACTCAATCTGGAAGTCCAATTCCAGTTCCGGTCCGGATTTTGGCATGCATAATTAGGTTGTTGCTCGAGCATGTTTCATAAACGTGCACATTTGCACGGGAATTGTATAGCTCGCTTTAAAGTCAAAATGCTTCATTTAAAACGTAAATACAGGCTAATATTTGCTCAAAATCTCTCTCTTACTTGCTTTACATTTTATAATTTTATAATTAATAGATATTTTTTATTGAATCACCATTTTTTGACGCAAAATGAAAGGAGATCATAACGCTTCCAACGGCAAAGATCAAACCCTGGAATGTGCGTAGCAAATTATTTATTCTGCTTCTTAAATCATATTGCTATGTACCTCATTTTCCTTTGTGAGTAGACTTCGAAGCCAAAACAATTAATATAAATACATTGATAAAGGTTATAAGAATATCTATATTGTCAAATTCAAGAGAATAACGAGTCATGCTGAATAATTTTGTTTACTATGGCTTATCGTAATTCTGGCTTTTGAAACCCTGTTCTCCTTATCGATCTTCGCTTGTTCGTGCAGAAAATACTGCTCGAGTACTTGAATCATGAAGAGTTAACTAAAACAAGCTATTGCCTATGAAGTTCATTGAAAATTCTTAGAAATAATCGCTTCGAAATCATCGCAATCTTATCGGCTTGAAATCCATGTTTACGAAGTTGATAAATTAATATTTCTAGTTCGATTGTCCTGAATTACAGCAGTCAACGAAATAGAGCATGCGTAGACATAAACCTCTGCCACGTGATCTGCTAGCTCCGCCCTCTCATAATCACTTGACAACATAGTGACATTGATTGACATCTGGTACATGAGAATTGAATAAATTTGATGTGAGAAAAATGCTTGGAAGTGCTTGGAAGTTCTGAAAGAAAAATACACCTAAAATGTTCCAAAGTACCCCTTACTCCCAAATAGCGGTCCATAACAAAGATTAGGTTTTAAATCACAGGCAACCCAAGCTCACTACATTTATAAGATAATGTATTCTCGACTTTCACATCCCCATAATGCCTTGCGTTTTTGGGGGGTAACCAATCAAAAAACTGTCCCAAA